TGCAACAAGCTTTTTGAATGTAAAGAAAGCGTAACAAAAATTGAGAAATGGCAAAAAAAAAAGATTATTCTTCAAATACAGAGGTCTGAGCTCTTTCAATGTGCTGTTTTGATTATCTTTATATATAGACATTTTAATAAGAACTGAGATTTTGAGAAGTAAAGAATTAAGTTTGTAGATACCTACTAATAAGGCTGCACAACTATCTGCGGGGAGTCATACTAAGGTGTGACTTAGCAGAAAAAAACAGCCTAAGATATTCTGCCTACCTTCTCTTGCAAGTCAACAATACATAGATCTGTTCTTCACACCAATTCCACAACCTACGAAGGGATGCTCTGACCTGTAACTCTTACTCGAATGAGGTTATGAAAGCTGAGAGCAACTCATTTTATTGTTCTGTTGGGCACATTAACTAACCATGATCTAACTCACCTAACCATTACTTAACTCAGACATTCTTAGCTTAATTTGTGATCTTGCCACATTTAAGAGGCAGTATTTTTCAGAGCAGGGAGGTGAGACTGGGTAACTTCTGCAGCCTGATCCTAGCTGATACAGAATTCCCCAGAGTGGCTCTGGGCAAGTTCTCTAGATTTCTCCGCCTCAGTTCCCTTTTGCTAAGACAAAGACGATGATGCTTACCAAGTTCAGGCAACTGCTAGAATTATCTAGTTAACATTTTAAAGGGATCTAAAGCAGTAAAAAATTTCAGTGTATTATCTAGCCCTTTCCCCCTACAAATTCTGTCTTAAAAATAGTGATCCCTTTTACCTGGGAGCTAGGGAGGTGCAAGAAGATTAATGAACAGTCCTGAAGGAACACATTCAAACTGTCAGCAGCAGACAGACGTTGTTTAAAAGGGTAAGGAAGCCAAGTGGCAATGTGTTCAATAGGTGGAGTCGTTGCAACGGATCTGTGCTAGCATTTTAATTCACTGTGTGTCAAACGGTGGTTACCTTCCTCTCTCAATTACCTATGAGTCTTCTGGGCTTCTCTACTGCTTACACTAATCTACCTATTCCCTGACTTGTTCAATTTACCATTGTTTGTATCCTTATTGTGTTATTTAAGTACTTCCCCTACTCCAGCTCTGGGAACCATGGGATCACAATTCGGCTCTTGTACTGTCTTTTTTTCCTTGGCCCTTCTTTGGAAACAGACACTGCATAGAAAGGAGGCTCCATCTGGCAGCCCTGGGTCTGCAGGCATGGACAGCTTTGCACCTCCTCCCCACAGAGTCCAGCCTCGGGAGCACTCCTCCATCTTTTTCTCTGGAGCAGGGAGAATGAGGCAGGGGCAAGTGTGAAGGTGCAAGAACAGGACAATTGGAGGGGGGATGTAGGGACAGAAAGGTCTATGATCAGCAGAGCACCCTTTTAACACCTGAAACAAATCCTTTGGGTATTAAGTCATGAGGCCTTTGCTGCTGACACACATAAAGCACAAATGCATGCACTTATATAAGCTCTTTGCTGCCCCCATAGCTAGCCCTACCTAGGGAATGGCAGCTTGGCACTGCCAGTTGGAGGACTCCTGGGGGGACCTTTTCAATGTTCCAGCACTGTCCCTGCTGCAGCCAACAGGAGCCCGCACCATCGTCTTCTGGAACAGGAGGCACTCAGTTAGTCCTGTTTTAAAAATAATAGCTTAAATGACAGATGGAAAAGAAGAGCACTGAGCAGCTTTGGTTTGCCAACCTACTCCTGCAAGATTACAAGGTGCTAGCATTCATTCTCCCCCCTCCTTGTGTGTGTGCTGTTCACAAGATGCACACCCCTGTGTGACACTCCAGGAGGCTTCATGGTCAGTGTTCACCTTCACACCTGCATCTTTAGCACATGGCCACCCAAAACATGTAACTCATTTTTCCTCCTGTATTCTCATGCATTGCTTCCAAATGCCTAAACTTCCTTAACCTTCAATCACACATCTCTGCGTATGCTTATCTTTCTATTTAATGGTGTTGGTGCCTTTTATCATCACAAAAGGCACTGAAAAAATTACCTTTACCCTTCCTCACACAGTAATCCCAAGCAAACATAACATAAAGGTTACGTGCTCACCTTAACGCTCATTACTTCATGGCGGTTTTCATCACAAGCGCATAATTGAAAGCAAATTATTTTTCACTGACCTGAAAGGAATCCTTATCAGAACTGAGACTGGAAGAATTTCCGCCTTTCTGCTTTGTTTTTTCATTCTCAGACTGCCTAAGGTCCAGCCTAGAGGTGATCTGCAATGTTTTCATTTTAAGAGCACCTGAATGCAGGCACTGCAATGCAAGCCACCTGCTGCCCCTGGCTGCGAGCTCCCAGACACCCACCTAGACACCGCATCTAGATGAGGCAGGCTACAGCCTAATTGCTCTGAACCAGAAGTGGGGAAGAAATTATTAATTTAAAAAGAATTAAAAATTTTAATATAAAAAGCTCCAAAACAAAAGAAAGAAATCCCTAACAGTAAGACCTACACTTCTTGCTGCATTTGTGTAAGCTGTAACTCAGGAAAGCTCTTAGGCACCTATTTCAGATTAAGTATGTCATATTGTGCTCTGAAAAGGGTTCTGTGTAAGCAAGAGATTTTTGGAATGAAACCTGCGTGACTGTATGTAGCAAAAAGAAACATCTTCACTTCCAAATCTTACGTCTGCTTGACAATCACCACGGTACACTTTATTACTGGAATATGTCAGATGAAGATCACAACAAATATTAAGTATCTCCCCAAAAGCGTAACAACTAGTGACACCTGTGGCTAAATCAGGCCCACCCTGATGTCTACAAGATCTATTTAAGAGGCAATTCAGAGACATGAGAGATACCAGACCAACAGCGATGGGTGAAGACTCTTGCTGTGCCCGAGCAGCTACTTTCGCTGGACCTACAGAGACCACCACTTCTCTATAAGCTTCATCTGTTTTCAAATGCACTGTCCGTGCTTTGGCACATGGATCTCCTCCTCCATGCCACACATTCCACCCAACAAGGCATGCCCCTCTCAGAACCACTACAGAAAACATTTCCCAGTAATGCTCATTTGTACCATTTGCTATAGTAATTGAAGTGTTTTCCACAGCAACGCACAGATTCCTTACCAACTCAAAATATTTTATTTTCCAGTTTTTAAGCTGCTTGAACTCACAGCCAACCATTCCCAGTGCCATTATGAAATTAAGTACTGCTCTGCAAGTCCACAAATGTACCTATGGCCTAGATTACACTGATACAGAGCAACATTAGGAATATGCTAATAGCCATAATGTTAAAAAACATTAATATTTCCCACGTTAAGAATATGTTAGCTGATCCCAGTTAAATCTACTGACAGACTCTAAAGCAGAGTGAAATTTTTCACCTAAATTATTCTTCAGGGGAAAAGTGCAGAATCACTCACATTAATGACTTCAAGAATCTGTATTAATTTCCCAGACTGCCTGCTTAGAAAAAAATTAAATATAAAAATAATTTCAAACACTTCAAAACAAAAATAATTCAATTTTTCTACTATAATGGAATCCTTCAATTGTTAAAGAAAATACTACTTCTGACCTCAATCAGAAAGAAAACATTTTGTTTAATTTAACCCCCTTTTCTACTTCCAGATAGTTCACTAGCTGTTTTCAGAATATTTCATTTTCTACCAACTCCCAAATGGAAAGTATTTTTTTAATTCATTGTAAACTAAAGTCCCACTATCTGCCTAGCTTTGCTCCGATGGTAAGCTGTATTTGATAGAGTACAGGTAAAAGATGTTATTAACATATTTTCCAACATGAAACATTTTCCCAGCCTGCATATGGAATAAGCAAGCGTTTTTGCAGCATGAAGTGGGTATTTAGTTCTAGGGGTCAGAGTAGGTGAGGATGGACAAGTGCTAATATATGGCACTGCATCTCCCATCCCAGCAAACAGAATATCCAAATGCTTCCTAAACACAGGATCATTTTATAAATTAGAGTGAAATAAACCAAAGCACTGAGGTTCATCCAAGAACACGAGGATCATTTGCAAAAAGCAAAAAACAAGTTTATGCAAAACAGCAATGGGTGTGAATTGAAAAGATGCTGTAATATTTTAAGTCCTACTGGATGCCAGGGTAGGTCAGATTTGGGGTGAAGAAGCTGGGGAGGTAAGGATTTTTTGAAAGCGATTTCTTTCAAGAGCACTTATCCCCACAGACACCTTTATCACAAGGATCCTGAGTATCATTATTCCCATTTTCCAAGGACAGAACCAAAGCACCACAGACCATCGCAGAGCAGTGACAGAAGACATCTCAGACCCTAACTCCTACTTTCTTTTTCCAGGCCAGTGACAGAGAATCTGCCATCCCCAGGAAGAACATCTGCCAGTGACATATTTACCAACTTAGGAGGTGAATCAACAAGGAATATAAAAAGTCTTGCCCTAAAGAGATCATCATTTATGTAGGTGAAGAGCCCAGGCAGGTTTGGGGATTTCAGAATAAACATATGCAAACATATTTACCGATCAGAATTAGCTATGGTGAGCTCATGGCATAGAGTGGGAGCTGATAAATTTTAAGGGAGGAAGGATGGGAAAATGCTGTGTTGGACTGCTCTGTTGGACATATGACAGTAATCCAGGGTGAAATACGATTAAAGAAAATCAAAAGAGATGAACAAGAATGACTCTGGATTAACTCTAAATCATAGCCATTCCAATAGCTAAAAAATAAAAATAAAACAAAATCACATTGGGAGACAGTTTGGCTACCATCAAGTGCTCAATAACAGCATAAAAGTACATGGTATGAAATCTTACTAAATTACATGGTAAGATGTACATATCACTGTGTATATATCACTGGAGAATAAACAGGGTTATCTTTCCATTAATGTTCCTTCCAGTACTACAGCTCGCAGGCATTTATGTCAGAAGTGGTTCCAACATGGACAGTGGCTATTTGTGGTACAAGAATACACAAGCTCCTGAAGCTGAGCTTCCAGCTCCTGCAGGACAGGAGCACTGGGGCTTCTAAACCCTTGGCAATCCATCTTCACCAACTGTACCATTCAGGACAATCTTAGGAGTCTGCTTATTGTCCCCAGCTTCTTCAGCCGTACACTCTGGAGGCTCTAGGTCATCGTATTTTCTCCGATAGACCACCCTCGAGATTAGGGTTATCAGAAACATTTCCATGATGAGGAGCTGCTGGGTCATATCTGCCAAAATAAAAGGGAGACAAAGAAAAGCCCCCAGAAGGGGGAAATGACTAGAAGACACAAAGTGAATACCTGGCTTATTAATTTTCATCTGTGCAAAAGGAACAAACTTCACCATCCTGTCTCCATAATGGAGTGTCTCTCAGTTACGGAATTACAGTATTGCCCATCAATAAGCATGCAATAAGTTATGCATTCAAAAAGCAAGAGATTTAACAGTAATTATGCATGTTGATTTCTTGTCTTCTAAATTCTGATTCCAACTCTTCTCATTATCAAGTTTTTCTCTGTGACTGTGACAGCTATAAAACTTTTGTTATTGTTTTTTAAGCAAAAGCTGAGATTCTCCAAAAGCTACATGGTCCCAGGAAATAACTATTTGAGAAAACACCAGATACTGCAGTTAGCAACACTGAACCGGCACCTTCATAAGTAAATTAACAACATCCTTCCTAGAAGAACTTACATGCTCCTCTTGCTGAAGAGGAGAGTGGTGGAGCACAGGGAATAACTCTTTGCATGGCCAAGATGTTGATAATAGCTGCTTGCAAGTGGTTCAGAATGAGAACAAACTGCACCAGAAAGAGAAAACAAATGCCTTAGTTACCAGGAAAAGGTTTATAGTTCACACAACAATTCTGCTTTCGTAACAGACCTTCTTTTACCTCATTCCCCTTTTCTTGCCTTCCCTCTCCTCCCATCTACCAGCAGGCTGCCTGCCACTCTGCAGAACTGATCTTTACGTCAGGATGTTATTGCTCCGAATGTCAGTGTTAAATTAAACCTCTGTTTGAAAAGTATTTCTTCTCAGCCCTTCATTTGGGAGGTGCAATATACACAGAGCAACGAGCTGGGATTTTAAACAATACTGAGCTCTGAATAATAGGTAACAATGTGTTAAAAACTTCCTGTTAATCTAACTGATGAGCTTATGTTCTCCCTTCCTGGAGAGTTTTTTTCTGTTGTCTCCTCTTTTTGCCACAGCAGAGAGATGTGGTGCTCCCCAAGTTATACGGGACTGGCTTCTTTGCCAGAAGGGATGAAGGACTCTTCACAGCTTGGCTTCAGCAACAATCACTTATGCATCGTATTACCTGCTATTCGCTGAGCTGGGTCTTCACTGCCTTGGACATACCAAAGTGCCTCTCTAGCTGCTGGCATAACTGTGTGAGTATAAACCTACCCATTAACAGAGTTTGCCATCTTAAACCTGGATTCACCTAATGCAGCTTTGCAGCTGTGACTATCCTGTTTATTGCATTTATAAGTGCTTAATAATTTGCTTAACAGAGACCTTAGTGCACCAGCCTTTCTACATGTCCTGTTCAAGAAGGATGCATTTTCAGGGACTCTGCTTTACTCTCTTCAGGGTGATGTGGAAGAGGATGGCCATGTTCCCGGGCTTTTTCAATCTAACCTATCTGGTTCTGTTCCTTACTATTTAATCATTCCCAGCTAGTATATTCATTATTATCTAACTCTGAAGTGCAGAATGGCCAAGAAAAATATAGTCAAAACAGAACACTGTGACATCCTGAAACAGTTCAAAAGACAGCCACCCACACAATGCTCCACATTCTCTCCTACTGAACAAAAGTACACACCAGCACTTGAACATTGCGTTTCAGGATACAGCACCTACAAAGCTTCCTTCAAGCCCCACAGAAGGTGTTGCTTTGAATTCAGTTGCCTAAAGATGAACGGATTTTACGCGGCTTTCATATCTCTAGCACTCCTGAAAGACTAGAGGTAAACTGGCTCAAGCTGAAACTGAACAGCAGCCAAGGAGAGCGCTTCAAAGGGACACAGCTTCCATCAGGTAAAAATAGGCCTTTGCACAGTGCATTTAATGGAAAAAAAACCTATGACTTTTCAACAAAGAACCAAGAATGAGAGAGACAGTGTTAAGAGAAGTTCTTACTAGAAATATTAAACTTCTCACCTGATAAAGAGCAAACTTTGGGATTATCTTCTTAGAGATAAGGAGAGTCCTAACTAGTCGAAACATGATTCCAACTGGCCACAGAGCAATAATGGTAAGGACACCAACGACACAGCCAATCCATACTGCAGCTCCTTTGGGAGATAGCTGAGAAGCAAATCAAACAAGTGTACCTATAAAACTCCACAGTGCATTCTACTATTTCCAGGAAGAAGTTGTGAACTGGATTATGCAGAAATTAAAATGTTTGTTTCTGTCTCCATGAAAGCTGATGGCAGCAGCTGTTGCTAGGGCTTGCATGGGGAAACTGCACAGTACCAACTGAAGTGTTAGCACAGTGCTCTCGCCCGGCAGGCTCTGACATGTAAATCTGTTCAGCCTGGGAAGGTAACTAGTGACACAATTCCTCAATCTGACCCCAGCAACACCTGGGAGCGCTCAGCAGCTCATGAGAGCATATTCAGCATGACACCTCAGAGGGGTCATACATTTTATACCATGAAACAACAAAAAATGTATTACTTTTAATCTGAGTTATCCAAGAGGTGCAAAATTATTATCAGATACATATTTCATCATCATATTGCAGCTTGCATGGTACAAAGCAGACGTACAGTAATATATCTTCTACTTTGCACAGATATAAAAATCACCATGATTTGCAGCAAAACATACAATTAGGCTTCCTGTTTACATGCAATAGATACACTTGTTTCTTAAGGCTGTACCTTACAAACCACACGGCAGGTACATTCTACAAGGCAACTTGCAGTCCTGCTACTCTAACCGTAGAAGCTGGGAAACGTACTGGAGCACAATCTGATACCCAGCCCACCCTGATGCCCAGTTTCTTCCCAAGAGAAGCCAAGAAATGGAGAGTCTGGGGGAAGGAAGAAATTATATGCTTGACGATCTCAAAAGAATACAGTATGGACACACTTGGAAGTGCTCCCAGATTTCACAGTTTAGTTGTAGCCTAAGATACTAACATCAACCCTAAAACCTATAGATTTTGTGTACTATCTCTGATTTAAATATTTACTTACACTGTAAAGGGTGTAATTGCCATTAGTCCAAAGCACTATTGATAAAAACATGAGCACAGGTCGAAGAAAAGCAAACTGAAAGGTGCCCAGCTTCAGCCAGAAGAGGGTTCGCCTGGCCAGAGGAAAAAAAAAAAATCACATAAGCCAAAATCTTATTAGGAATCTTAATAACATTTTTCATATACTGTCAACTGCAAAACTATTCCACTCCTGTAGCATGTGGCTAAAATCTGGGGAGGAACAGCTCCAAGACTGGAAAATCTTTCCAAGAATTACCCAGTGTTTATTTAGTAATGTCTCTACAAAAATAGTACATTTGCTATTCAGCAGCAATTGCATACTAACCAAAGCTGGACAAAACATGATGTCTTTCTCTGCCCTGAAGCTAACCAGAGAGCCAGCAGCAGCATAACTCATTCTGAACAATAATGCCACTTGCTCTTGTCTTGTTGCCTTGTTCCAGTGTATTGGCTTCCATAGGTGCAGCTCTCTATCCCCACCCACTTCTCAAAGGTGCATTAATACTAAGTTTAGGAGAAGAAAATATTTGCTTTTGCCTCACCAGACTGCCATTTCATAGAGACCAAAGCCTCCCAGGAATTACATCTATTTTTTGTTCTAAAAATTATTTTAATCTGAAGTTTTAAAGGCAAAATCAGGATGAACCAGTTCCATTTCATCGAAGAGAAATTTTATTTCAAGGAAATTTTATTTCAAGACAGCATCAATTTGAGAATTCTGCTTGTGAAAAATATCCAATTTGGAGACATTTGTTCTCTTCTGGAATGAAAAGGAACTGAAATCTCAAGTATCAGCTTTTCTAGAGTAGAAATTCCTTCTCCCACACACCACTGCTTACCATAGAAGTGGTTTCTTGGAAGTGAACAGGATTAGTTTGGAAGATACCACAGTGCTCAACGTTACTGTGAGTGGGAACACTGCCCTGGGTTAAACTGAGAGAGCTCATGCAAAATTCTGCATTATAAAACCGAAATAAATTAGTGGTGGTGTACAGCCCCAAAGTGATTGCACTGCTTAAAGAGATGGCTTGAGACTGGCTTTCGGGAAGCAGGGAGGCCCTTTGCTGTAAGCCTTGCCTTGCCAAACTGGCAGGATTACAGCAGCCGTTTTCCATCTGGGAATTCTTAAAGGGCAACTCACCTAGTGATGCGCACACGAGGGAGGCAAAGGCAGCAGCAACAGCAGGGACCAGTGCTGATCCTGAAGTGACCATTTTCAAACCGCCTGAGGAGCAGCTTCTGCCCTCCACACTCTTTAATCATCATCAGCAGGAACTTGTGGATAACTATGGCAAAAAATCTAAGAGAGGAAGAAAATGCCAGCTTGAACTTGCCTATAAGTCTCTTGCATGCCAGTGCTGCCTTCTGTCTGGGGTTTTTACAGCTTGTGCTTTGCAATTGACAGAAATTCTAGCAAGAGCTTTGATAAACCTTTGGTTTTACATCACCGTGCAGGACCAGAACTGCCCTAACCTCATTGAGAGAGGAATAAACTGAGGCACAGAGCACCTGTGGAATTTCCCAAAGCTGCACTCGTGGCTGGTGGCAGAGTCAGTGTTAAAGCACAGGCTTTTCTGGCCCAAGTCATTATGGCCATATTTTTCTATCTGTTACCTGACTGGTCCAAACTTTTCACAAGTCCTATTCCTCCTTTAAAAAAAACAAAAACAAAATTAAAAAAAACACCTGCCAACCACCAACAACAAACATAGCTAGGTGTATATATATATAGATCATTGTATGTGCTGCCCCAGTCAGGGTGTGGTTCCTCTGCAACCAAAACTAATCCAAGCCCTGCCTGCTGCAACCCCACCTCTCTCTCCTTCACCAGCTGCACACTCTCCACCCTTCCCAGGAGCTACAGATTGTGCAACCGCATTTTCTTCCCTTTCCCAAAGTGGTTTAGGGAACTGATTTAGTGAAATCCAAACCCACCAAACAAAAAAAGTCCTCTTCAGCTGCACTGGTTCCTTGAAGGAATTTACTGTGCAGCCAGAGATTGTGAGTGGTAACGGATGCAAGTGAGAAGGCAGGAATCTGCAGCTTGGGCAAGGGAGGAACGGGGATTCAGATGGGCTTAGAGTGCCACAGACTGTATCCTTGGAAGTTTCTGGTAACGTGCTACCTGCACAAATTGCTGCACATTCACTGTGTCCCCTACTACTGTTTTCCCTCCTTTTTTACCTACTCTGTTAGTAAACACAATGCGACAAGGGGTGAGGCTGTTCATGAGAGTCTGTGATACCGTCCTGCAGTGGGTTCCAAAATCATCCCCCTACCTGGCTGTACCTACCAGGGCTGCGCCATCACCTCCAGAAAGTAAGGACCACATTCATCCATTCTTCTCTGTGCACGTCAGAGCTGTCACACTCATACAGAAAGTGCTTTTATCAGGACAACTGTGGAACATTTTTACATTGATACACTCATCGGAGGTTCACTTGCCACCGCTAATAATAGACCTCCACGGCTCATCATTAGTGAAAGCGCAGAGAAGTCACAGGTCAGAATTTCATTCCACATGACACGCAGAGAGAGGAAAGAAAGAGTACTGCTTCAAAGCTACTGTCAATCCAAGGGAACAATTACATGCGAGTCACAGATCTTTTCATACTGAGGTTCCCACACTAGGGGACTGTAGCACTGGGAACTGCTTCAGCATTTTCCACCTCCCAGAAAAGAGCTGCCAAGAGATTCAACTCAAACCAAAAATTACTAAATTGTTAAACTTACAAAATGACTGTGTTTACCAAGAGCAGCAGATATTTAAAGGGAAGAAATTCAGGGTTTGGGGCAATGTCTAGAAACAAGCAGAATACTCACACTGCTGCTGTGAAATCTGTAAACATTGTTGAACGAGGAACCCACATGCCAATGCATGAAGTAGTAGCGATCACCTACAGAGAAAGGGAGGAGGGTTGTATGAAGGGCAGAAATAAAGCAAGTTCATGTGGATTTTCAGGGAAACCCTATTTTCAACATGCAATTTTATCTCTTTTCCATGATAACTTACTGGAGCTGCAGCATTAATCCAAATTATGATTGATCTTTTGGAGGAGGGGAATTTCCTGTAGATGTAGACTGCTTCCTCTATAAACACCAGATTGGCAATTAGCGTCATCAGAGTCAAGATTGCAAAGAGAAATCTCCCTGGTAGGTCAAGGCCTGCAGAGAGAGAAAAGAAAACAAAGCTCTGACTTATTTCATAAGCATTCCAAACATTTAATGTAAAGACACCATCTCTGAGGGTCTTCTTAGCCCTGTTCCTGCAAAGCCTTGCACTCATCCTTAGCTATATAGATGGATCATTGACTCCACAGGATGATTCAGATACTTAAGTTCATGACTAAATCTTTCCAGGATCCACAGACAGCACATGGGAAGAATATGCCTCCATGTTCTCAAAGCATTATTATTATTATTATTATTATTATTATTAATTACTCCTACAGAAAGGTGGAGTTCCAGGACAAATGTCCTTAGATGAATGTAAATATGTAACAGAATATAAATAAATACATAATACATTATATAAAGAAATACAGTAAATACACATTCTAGGAACTTTTCCAGACAGACTACAAGTAAAAATATATTTATTCAGTATTAGTTTTTTGCTTCCATTGTGTGTTCTCATGCATGTTTGTGTGTAGCTTCCTTAGGCATGCAAACTTTTTAGAGGCTTGGTGGAAGTTTGTGGGGACACGAACAACGTAAGGATAAACCCTTAATATATCTAGACTGAGGTAAAAACTTGATGCCTTCACCAAATCCTTTTTTCCTTCTCCCTGAATGCTGGGTATGGCTATCAACATTTACCCACGGCTGATGGTTTTGTCTCCCTTGACACTGGGTATGGATATCAACTTTTACCCACGGCTGATGGTTGAGGTGGATTTTCTCCCCAGAAAGGTGCCTTTGGAGACAGAAGAAAGCACCGCAGCGGAGTCATGCTTAATTTAGGAGAAGCTCATGCTCACCACTGGTTCTAACCCCGGCTGTGGCTGCGGCCAGCTGAAGGCACAACCAGCAGTGCCTGCCCAGGTGAGCCTCTGCCCCAGCCGCTTTAACTTAACCTGCTCCACAAGACCCCAACGCTTCGCCACTTGGCTGCCGGCGGAGCAGCCCACGTCTCGGCGGACACCTCCGCACCATCGATCTCACCACAGGAGAGACCGGCCTACGGGCCGGGTCCGGGCTCGGATCGGCGCGTACCGGGTGGCCCCGGCGCTCCCCGCCGACCCGTGTTCCCTCACC